CTGTATTTGAATTGAGTATCTAGAGCTATAAAGAACTATCATCCTACTTCACTGAAAAGATCATGCACATTTGGGAAGGCTTCCCAAAAAACTCAATCTGCCCTGTCTGCAGCCCATAGTTTGCTTGAATTCCTCAAGTTCAGTACATTCACTCATCAAGAAGTTCTGAATACTCTAAAGAAGTCTTGACCCAAGACTTGTGAATCCTATCCAAACCCTTCCTGGCTTGAAAGAGAGAGTCATGAGCAACTGGTGCCACTCATGACCAAAACAGCCAACACCTCATTCAGGGAAGGACCCTTCTCTTCCTCCTTCAAACATGCAAAAGTCCAACCAACACTAAAGAAACCCACCCTGGATACATAAATTCTAGCCAAATACTTCAGTATCAAACCTTCTTTTCCTGAGCAAGCTGGTAAGAGAAGTTAGTCAAAAGCCATCTTCAATCTTATCTAACTGAAACTAATATCCTGGGGCTGGCACAATCTGGATTCAGGCCAGGACATGAAACTGTATTGATTTAGTGGCACCGATGGATGATCTGCTGCCAATAGACAGAAGGCAGACATCCATTCTTATTCTTCTGGACTTCTCTGCAGTATCTGATCCAGTTTACAATAAGACAGCTGTCTTGCCTGAAAGAGGTCGCAAGGGTCGAAGATAATACACTAAAATGATTTAAGTCCTTCTTGGAGAGATGAACCCAAAGAGTAGTGATGGGACACTGCACATCTATTGCGTTGCTTCACGAGGAGGCCCACAAGTTTCACTTGTCTCTCCAACCCTATTCAAAACCTGCATGCAGCCACTAGTTGAACTGGTCAGATGACATGGACTCAAGTGCCTGTAATATGAACATGACACACTGCTCTACCTGTTCTTCACCACATACAACCATAGTGCTATCACCAGTAATTGGATGAGATCAGCTCATGGATGAACAACAGCTGGTAGAAACTGAATCTAGGCAAGACAGAGGTGATGATGGTATGCTGAGGAAAGCATTCTGAAGTGTTCGCAGCCACTGTGCAATCTCCTTTGGTAGCGGGTCCAAATCTGCAATTGGTCCATCAGTCTGTAGCTAAATTCTCACTTTCTTCCCTGATGCTAAACTCTCATATAGCAACATTGGTAAGCAATGCTTTCTACCATATCCAGTTGGCTAGGAGACTCCATGCCAGCTTGGCAAATGATGACCTGGCCTCAGTTATTCATGCCTTTGTCAGTTCTGAGCTGCATTACAGCAAGGTGATACAGCTGGGTATGAGATGGTTGAGTTCAGGATTTCGAAAAAAGGAAGAAAGGAGAGTAGCAAAATACGGACCGTGGACTTCAGAAAAGCAGACTTAGACTCCCTTGAGGAACTGATGGGCAGGATCCCATGGGAGGCTAATATAAGGGGGCAAGGAGTCCAGGAGAGCTGACTGTATTTTAAAGAAGCCTTATTGAGGGTGCAGGAACAACTATCCCGAAGTGCAGAAAGAATAGCAAACATGGCAGGCAACCAGCCTGGCTTAACAGTGAAAGCTTCGGTGAGTTTAAACTCAAAAAGGAAGCTTATAAGAAGTGGAAATTTGGACAGATGACTAGGGAGGAATACAAAAATATTGCTAGAGCATGCAGGGGTGTAATCAAGAAGGCTAAGGGACAACTGGAGTTGCAGCTAGCAAGGGATGTGAAGGGTAACAAGAAGGGTTTCTACAGGTATGTTAGCAACAAGAAGGTGGTCAGAGCAAGTGTGGGACCCTTACTGAATCGGGGAGGCAACATAGTGACAGATGATGTGGAAAAAGATGAAGTACTCAATGCTTTTTTGCCTCGGTCTTCACAGACAAGGGCAGCTCCCAGACTGCTGCACTGGGCAACACAGCATGGGGAGTAGGTGAGCAGCCCTCAGTGGTGAAAGAACAGGTTAAGGACTATTTAGAAAAGCTGTTCATGGGTCCAGATCTAATGCATCCAAGGGTGCTGAGGGAGTTGGCTGATGTTATTGCAGAGCCATTGACCATTATCTCTGAAAATTCGTGGCGATCATGGGAGGTCCCGGATGACTGGAAAAAGGCAAATATAATGCCCATATTTAAAAAAGGGAAAAAAGAGAACCCGGGAACTACAGATCAGTCAGCCTCACTTCAGTCCCCAGCAAAATCATGGAGCAGGTCCTCAAGGAATCCATTTTGAAGCACTTGGAGAGGAAGGTGATCAGGAACAGTCAACATGGATTCACCAAGGACAAGTCATGCCTGACCAACCTGATTGCCTTCTATGATGAGGTAACTGGCTCTGTGGATATGGGGAAAGCAGTGGATGTGATATATCTTGAGTTTACCAAAGCTTTTGATATGGTCTCCCACAGTATTCTTGCCAGTAAGTTAAAAAAGTATGGATTGGATGAATGGACTACAAGATGGATAGAAAGCTGTCTAGATTGCTGGGCTCAACAGGTAGTGATCAACAGCTCGATGTCTACTTGGCAGCTGGTATCAAGCTGAGTGCCCCGGGGTCAGTCCTGCGGCCGGTTTTGTTCAACATCTTTATTAATGATCTGGATGATGGGATTAATTGCACCCTCAGCAAGTTCGCAGATGACACTAAGCTGGGGGGAGAGGTAGATACGATGGAGGGTAGGGATAGGGTCCAGAGTGACCTACACAAATTGGAGGATTGGGCCAAAAGAAATCTGATGAGGTTCAACAAGGACAAGTGCAGAGTCCTGCACTTAGGAAGGAAGAATCCCATGCATTCCTACAGGCTGGGAACCGACTGGCTAAGCAGCAGTTGCAGAAAAGGACCTGGGGATTATAGTGGATGAGAGGCTGGATATGAGTCAACAGTGTGCCCTCATTGCCAAGAAGGCCAATGGCATATTGTGCTGTATTAGTAGGAGCATTGCCAGCAGATCGAGGGAAGTGATTATTCCCCTCTATTCAGCACTGGTGAGGCCACACCTGGAGTACTGCGTCCAGTTTTTGTCCCCCCACTACAGAAGGGATGTGGACAAATTGGAGAGAGTCCAGCGGAGGGCAAGCAACATGATTAGAGGGCTGGGGCACATGACTTATGAGGAGAGGCTGAGGGAACTGGGGTTATTTAGTCTGCAGAAGGGAAGAGCGAGGGGGGATTTGATAACAGCCTTCAATTACCTGAAGGGGGGTTTCAAAGAGGATGGAGCTTGGCTGTTCTCAGTGGTGGCAGATGACAGAACAAGAAGCAGTGGTCTCAAGTTAGAGTGAAGGAGGTCTAGGTTGGAAACACTATTTCACTAGGAGGGTGTTGAAGCACTGGAATTGGTTACCTAGAGAGGTGATGGAATCTCCAGCCTTAGAGGTTTTTAAGGCCCAGCTTGACAAAGACTTGGCTGGGATGATTTAGTTGATGTTGGTCCTGCTTTGAGCAGGCGATTGGACTAGATGACCTCCTGAGGTCTCTTCCAACCCTAACATGCTATGATTCTAAATCTTCAGCAATTAGGAAACTAACTGGTACAGAATTCTGTACCACGTCTCCTCAGCAACACTGAACACATCAAACCTGTATTCCATTCCCCTATACTTGCTTCTCATAGAATACTGAGCCAAATTCAAGGTCTCAGTTGTTTTCTTCAAAGCACTCAGTGGCCTGGGCCCAGAGAACCTACAAGATCACCTAAAGCTCCACGAAGACAATTGTGGTCGATAAATTTGTCCCTTTGGCACAATGGAACTTTCTGCAATGAGGGTAAAGCTCATCTGTGCAAGGGCCAGTTTTCTTGAGGGCCAGTTCAGGACAGTACAACAGACTCCCACAGGAACTAAGGGCTATCATAAACCTCACTGCCTTCCACTCTAAGTGCAACTTGCACTTCTTTGCCTTTGCCTTTTGTGACAAACATACAGCAACATGTGTACACTAAAAAAATTCTAAAACAAAACATTCCACTGTGCACACTTCTCCCCCTGGGGAAAGAATGAAAAAACACATGACTGATATTAGTCATGATGCTTAATGCACTAATGAAAGGTGATCATGGCAAGCGGTAAGCATGGCATAAAAACCCATATAGAACAGAACAGAGCACTGTTCCTCATCCTGTGGTCTGACTGTGCTGTCTTTGTAACACTCCCAGTAGCTGTTGGTCTGAAGAGTAAGCATCTGAACACAGAACTTGAACTCTGAGTCTGTGTTTTGCTGCTAATATAGATGTTTGGGAAACTAGAATTTTGATTCTCCCTGAAGACCTGGGTTCCACCCCAGAAAGCAAGACTATGACCTTGGCAAGAAGAGAAAAGGGATGATTCATCTGCAGAGATTAGGAAATCAAAGAAATTACTCTCCCCAATTCCTGCTTTTTTTTTTTTTTTTTTTTTTAAATTACGCCCTCCTATCAATTTCCTTGAGCAGAAAATTGGACAATTTTTTTTTTAAATTACGTCCTCCCATCAATTTTCCTTGAGCAGAAAATTGGACAATTCTTTCAAGAGACAGGGTTGCCTGATAAATGTGAGATTGTCTCTTTTCCGAGGGATTGGAAAAGATTTAGAAATCTCTCTGCTCTACCTGCTCAGAAGCAAATCTGGATGCCCACACAGTATCATTTTGCACCACCCTTCATAATCTATAGAGGCCTGACTGTGGAAAACAAATGTGTGATGAAGATCCAGATATGGACCACAAGAAAAACAGCTGCTCAAGAAGTTTTAAAAACTGGATTTGTTTGCCTAGCAAAACTTTTCATTTCAGTTATCAGTTTAAAAAGTCAATATTTCAGATGTCAATAACTGATGGTAATGAATCACATCATGTTTGTGTGGAACAGACAGAAGTTTGTATTTAAAATAGACAGTTGAGAGGCATATATTGTGCTATTAATTGAGGACTAGGATGGCTCAAATAAATGCCAGTTAAGTTTCAGTAGTAACTTATCTGTTCAATTAATATTCCTGTTACACAGAAACTATTAATTTTAATAAGCTTTAATTGTTGACTGCTACTGAGATTAGTGGTACTCTGCAATGTATTACCAGGAATCTCTCCTCTTTTTCAAGCCAGCGCTGATCTTCCTCCATTTCTTGTTGCTGTCGTATCAATCTCTCCTCCATTAGATGTGTTGGTAGGACCTGTCCCATTCCTCGCATGTCCAAAGTGCCAGAATCCTAAGAGGGAAAGCTCAAGGGTTGCCATTTGCCTACCATGGCAGAATGTCATGGGACTCAATAGTTTTTATACACAGTTGTGAAAACTCTTGTATTATAAGAGAAGGGATTTAGAAAACCCAAAACCTATAGTCTGAGTCAAGCATGGTTCTCAGCTCTACTAAAGTATTAAAGTGGCACATCAAAAAGGACACATTCCAGTTGTAAACATTTAGTTTGCCCTGCTTACTATTATTGGAACGGAATGAATTTTAGAAATCTATTTTACTTTTCAAGAATTTTGACGTGCTTTTTTTTTTCTCTTTTCACTAAGCTTGCATGGATGAAAACAGATTTCTCAGTATTACTCTCTGGGTCTTGGGCACTAGTACAATGTCTGGGTTGCTAGCACTGTAGGACAATGTTTCTATCCAAACAAACAAACCCTCCTCCTCACCTGTTTTTACTGACACTTTTTAAAAATATCATGGGAATATTTCTAATAGATTTTGTAAACTTCTTGTTCTACAGAATCTAAATTTTGGGCCTAACGGACCTGACACTGTCCCCTTAAAGTGGTTCTTTAAAGCACTAACCACAAGAAACGTAGGGAGGGGTCTTCATAGGAGCCAAAGGGAGTTAGGTGCCCAACTCCAATTGAAATTCAATGGGATTTGGTCACCCAACCCCCATACATTCCTGAGAAAAACTCAGCTGTAATGTATTAGTGATGAATATGCACAAAACACATCATGTTCTTATACTGCCTTCTCCTTCACCCCTACCTTAGCACATATAGGGCCAGATTCTATTGTTCTTATTGACTAGTTGGGGGATTTAGGGTATTACTCTACCTGTGTAAGAATGGAAGAAACATTTTCATCATTAACTAGCCATTCCAACCTCATAGAGGAATCCTACAACACCAACTATATATCGTGAAGGTAACAACCAGTACAGTATAGGCAGAACACATGATCAAGTCGACCTAGTGCTCTCTTGGGCAAAGAAAAGAACAAATATGGGTTTCTTTGCATGACACATCTCTGCTGTCCTGTATTTAGCAGCATATCCCACTTCTCAGTTCCGCTCATGCATTACAGGTAGAGAGAGAAAAGCACCACTACAAGGAGCAAACAGACTTAGTAAGATGGAAGCTGCATGAGGATCACTACCATGAAGAGATAGGGAAAAGAAGGAGAGATGAAGGGACTGCAGGGAGAAAGGAAGGGAAAAGGATGGAATGTTGGAAGGGGAATGAAAAAGAATTAAAAGGATGAAGGGGAGGGAAGGGTTCGGGAAAGAGTTTGGCAATCTGTGTGGCACTTAGTGGCGTTGCGATGCTGAGAGGTATGCTGTGATCATGGAGAAACCTTGGATTCATAAAGTGCACTAGGTATCCCAGGCACTATATTTTTTTTAATGGATGATGAATTAATATGTATTTTATTTAGCATGAACTTTTCTCCTTTAATAATAAGTAATAACAACTTTGCTCTTTTGTGGTGCATTTTGTCTGAGGAACTCAAAGAATTTTATAACCATTAATTTAGTCTCAACACCCCCAAAAAGGAGGGTAAGTACTAATACCCCCATTTTAACAATGGGTGAACTCAGGTATAAGTGCACCACAGCTTGTCTAAGCTCATGTAAGAAACCAGTGGTAGAACCATGAATAGACTCCAGTCACGATTCCCACTCCGCTGTTTTTATTGATAAATAACATTCCCTTCCTTCATTAATCAAACCATTTTAAAACTCCCAGGAAAATTGACTTAGTTTCCCTAGATTAAACTCCAGAGTTGTAGTTGCAATTTTTAAAAAAAGCTTTATAATGCAAGTACTGTACAATGTGCAATAAACTTTGTGAAAATTCACATTACCTCCATGGTGGGGGGCCACATTGATATTTCCTGAGGCCGATGGTTCCAGGAATCTGCTTGATCCAAAAGAGATGCCTGGCCAGGATAAATGCTGCCTGCCATGGCTGGTATCCCATGAGAACCAGGATAGCCAGAGACCTATAAAAAGAAAATGCTTGATGATCGTATTAAGGCCCCCACTTAAGCTCCTCTATGTTTGATGATTCTCCCTCATGTATCCAAAACAGAGAGCATAATAAATGCCTCATGGCAGGATATTAAGTCAATGAAAAAAAAAAAAAAAAAAGAAAAAAAAGAAAATGTAGAGAACCAGAAGAAGAGTCAGCAATTCAAGCTAAAATATGACGTACTCTCAAATACTGCTTTAACAAACCACGTTTATTGGGTTAGAACTAGTGTCCACAACTAGTGTTAAAAGTTATGTTTTAATCCTAGTAGCAGAGGACATCAAAATCCCTTAATGAACAAAAACATATCCATCAGTACATTTTCAACATAAGGAATTACACACGCAGCTCTCATTAATGTTAACAGGAATCGTGCACATATCTCCCTATAAACTATGCTAAAAATGTACCCCCTAGTGTATGTTACAAGCTTAAATCCTGAGTGACAGCACGTAATTATCATAGCTGCAGGATGGCCTGACAAAATTTCATAGCCTGCAGCTATGAAAAATCAAAGAAATTTTAATGAGACTGAAGTGTGCTCATTTTAAAAAATGCTGCTTCAGTCAGGGTGCTCTGCAGCTTTGAACAAATCTAAAAATTCTGAAACAGCTCCATGGCAGAAGATGCTTTAAATTTACTTTGATGGTACAAGACCAAAGTTAAACAGGCAAGTATACTATGTGTTAACATTTGGAGAGGGCTATCAACTTGAGAGAACTTGAAATGCTTCTAAGAACTCACTGGAGAACATAGCATGAACAAGGCCAAGGTAATCAGACCACTTAATCCTATTTTGACATGCAAGTGACTTTGTTAGCCAAGTGTAAATTGTCACATGCATGTTACATGAACACTGAACTTCCTTGATAAATATGAGAAAAAGTTTATTACCGTAGTTTTAATTGACTGGAGAGTCAGACAAACAGTTGACTTGCTTGCCATTTGGAATCAACCTACCAGACTCAATTCTGGTCTTACACTGGTGTAAATCAGAAGTATGTCTATTGAACTCAGTGGAGTCTATTGAACTCAATGAACTCAAACTGGTGCACACATGAGAAAGACACCCACTACATGCAAGTGGATGATAAACTATTTTAAAACAGCAGGCACAAAGATAATATTTTACCTGGTAATGATTGGGCGGTACCATATGCTGTGGACTAGGATAAAACCCTTCACTGGATCTTGGACTGGGATAACCAGGTCTGCTGGGCTATAAATATAAAAGAGTGCACTTTTTAAAGAGAACAATCATATAAATAAAATACAACAATCAAAGTAAGTTATTTTCAGGAAAGGCAAATTTTCTCATACTGCTAAACTTACACGAGATGCTTCATGAAAGCAAGCTTCAAAATGTAAGCAAAAAGGATTGTAGGAAACATAACAGAGTTGAGTGAATAATTCATTCAATGAATTTTGCCTCTTTTTCTGTTCGCAAACAGTTTAGGCTAGTCTCACATTTAATATTCAAAATTATTTGCTGAACAATTTCTATTAATAACTCTTGTTCTGTAGGTTCTTTGAGAGTAGCTGATTGTGAATATCCAATAACCCGAACTATGGGTTGGTTCTGAGAGGACACACTATTAAAGCATAATAATTAAAATCAGGTCTCAGATGTGAATGCTCACGTTTCCAAGTTCATAATCGGCTTCCTGCCAGTAATTGCCAACACTTCCCATGTATTTTGGCGAATGCTCCTGACAGTTAACTCCTTTGCTAGGACAGTGGTCTAAAGTACAGGTAAAGCACAGAAAAGTCTAAACACAGGTAAAGCAAACTGAATTATTTATTGGAATGAATATTCACAGAAATTATCCTGAGAGACTTCCTGAGCTCTAATTGTTAATGAGCAATCCAGCGAAGCAGCTAGAAATGTCTCCCATTAGAACGGACAGCAGCATTAACTATGGGTGGCACCTAGCAAGTGGCCACAAAACTCCTTGGCTGGCTATTAGATAACTGATCCTTTCCTCTTTAGGATTAGTTGCAACACTTCCTGTAACTGTACATCGTCTGGTCAATCATGAAAAAGTGAAAGATTTCAGAGGGTAATATTATACACTGTAATGTGAAAAGAAGCTTGCTATTCTTTATTGGCATCTAAGAGTGTATGATTTTGCTGGAATCTGTTTATCTGTGGCCACCAAATGGTGGAGATATTGCTAGAGCGACATATATAATGCCACATATATAAAGAGAATAACTTGAACAGGAACAAAAATGATCTAAACCCCTCAAATAGAAAATGATGCACAATACCGTGGGTATCAGATTTCAAAATCAGCATACTTGATCAGGTCCCAAAGCTCATAAAATCACTGTTCTCAAAGGCGTTAATGATGTGCTTTTCTAACAGTTGTAATTCTTCATTCATTACATTAAAAAAAGCATTTAGTCCACTCAGATTAAGCCTTAGAAGGCAAAATTTAATCTCTTCATCAAACAATCTTTTAAATTATTAACCACCATTGTTATTATGGGTCATGCAATTTATTTCCTTTGCCAATGTATATATTACTATTTAAGCACTAAATCATGACAGTTAGGCCAGGTCTACATTACAGACCTATGTCAGTATAACTATGTCACTCAGAGGGGTAAAAAATCCACACCCCTGACTGTAACCCCCTGTGTAGATAGCGGTACGTCAACGGGAGGGCTTCTACTGTCAACACAACTACCATCTTTTGGGGAGGTGGATTAACTATGCCAATGGGAGAGCTCTCATAGGAACATCTTCACTTAAGAGCTGCAGCAGTGTTTTAACTGTAGACCTTCCCCCAATCTTAGTTGATTAAATAGGTCAATGGGGTATTTTGAATTAATTTTAGAACAAAAAGTTCAAATCATTTTTCCATGGGCTATGTTTCTTGTCCTGTTGACCCTATTAAAGTGCAGAAGTGGGGCTCACAACTCTCTCAGCCAACAAGCTGAAGATGGTTTAAAAAAAAAAAAAAGACCCCATCTTTTGCCAGGACTGTTTATGGATGCATGTGGCAGAAACAGCAGCTGCTGGCTTCAGGTTTTCATGGTCAAGTAGCTGGTTAAGACACAGCCAATATTTGGCACTGGGATGATGATGAAAGTCTGAACTCAAGGAGAAGCTAGTCAAAACATTTGTGCTCAATGGCTCCAATGAGGAGACACGGACGATAGTGGACTTTGGGGCTACTCAGCACCTTGCAGGATTAGACTTCAAGACTGCACGGCAGTGGTGTCCAGATGGATAATAGACAGACCAACCAATGAAAATACAAAAAAAAAAAAAAAAATTCTTAAGGATCCTTTAAACTATAAAAGGGAAACCTTCAGAGAGGAATCGTAACAGTCACTTCAGAATAAGGTAAAAATGTAATGAACTCATTTCTATCCACTCACTATTATGGTATAAACTTTACTTTATGATTGTCAGGGATCTTACTAGCTATTAATTTACAAGAAATAACAGACAGAAAGAAAGGGGGAAAATGTTTAGCCCTAGGCGAAACAATTTAATGGCAAACCATTCTAGTCTTTTTCAAGTTACATGACCATGAGAAAAGAGAGAAACAAGAGAAAGGTTTGTACAATATTGGCTAACAGTCTGACCCAACACCACAAAACTGCAATACAAATCAGCTGTACTAACTCAGCCTATGGAAAGCTGGGTCCTTAAAGTGAAATCCATCTAAAATAGTGTAAAATTAGTTAAGTGTCATCATTAGCAACAGATCACCAAACAGGGTATGAGAAGGGAGCCATCTGGCTTCTCTCATCATTGAACAATATTTAACAGGTTAATGAACTAAAATCATAATATTGTTGAATGTAAAGTATGTGTTAAAAAAAAGTTGGCTACCTTGGGAGGGGCTTCATCTGATCCTCCTGAATCCCAGGACACTGTGACTTGTCGCCTTGATTCCATTCTCATTCGTTCTTCTTGCTGCAGCTTCTCTTCCTCCAGTATTGTACTAAGGAGAAAATAAAAGTTACACTGAAGATAAGTAATATTCTGGTTCAGTGTCTAATAGACGCTATCTCCAAATTTCTTTCAAACTCCCAGATTAATAGATCCTAGCCCACAGACTGACAGGAATATACAAGACAAATAAGGCTGCTTTTAAATAGGGAGAGGGCTGGTATGGTTTCATAAAACTAATACTAGGGGAAAATACCTTTGCAAAATTAGCAACTGAAACACAACAATCTTGATCTGCAAAGACATATGGTAACGAAAGACATTTTTAGAAAATTATGGGTGATCCTGTAGAAGAGTTTTTCACATGTGAACATTTCTTTTGATCTAGTGGCACAAGGCATAATTATACTGAGAAATCCCAAGAGGCAATTAATCAAGCACATACTTGCAAACATTTATTTTTTATATGGAAATATTCTATTGCATCTCTGCAAAGGTATAAAACAAACTGCAGATATAATCTTTATGGAAGCATGAAAATCTTTCAGTTCTATTAACAAATTAAAAAAAGAAAATCTTAAATACTATGACTTATTACATTTCAACTTAACTAGGAACACATTTAACAGACTAATTCAGCCAAACAGAAATGTGATGGCATTTACTCAGACTCTTACTATTCAGGCCAAAAGATACAATTTCATCAAAATACAAAACACTTGTAAAACTAGCTTGCTACTTACCACTGTTCTGACTATCACAGACTATTTGAAGTTCAACATAATACTGCTGCCTCCACAGTAGCCTCCTCCCCGTTCTGCTATGTGGATTATTAATCTTGGATATTTGCCATTTTAAAAATACTTAGAATGCAGCTTTCATATAGGAGTTAAAAATTTGCTAGAGCTGCATGCTACATAGATTCTTCAGGGTTCTGAGTAGGTCTGACTGTTTTCGTATCAACCTCTCCAGAATGACAAACTAATCAATCTTGTAAAGGAGCAATTCCCCTGTGTTTACCACCGTTCAGTTTCTAATAAGGAAGCTCATTCAAAGTTTTTAATCTCTTGGTTTAGTCCACTAAAAACCACTCAGAATTACACATGCAGAGGATGAGATCAGTTGCAGTAGTCCATTCTAATTTGGGAACTTTCTTGCTCATTTCAAAAATAAATTCTGCTTGACTGGACACTAAAACTCTGCCTTTTCTCTTTCAGCCAAAAACAGAAAATACCTAATCTAGTCTAACAGCAACAGAAGTGGATTTAAAATATGCTGCTGCTATTTCAATCCATCGCTGCTGAAATAAAACACACAAATGTCAGAACAAAATATACTTTGGAAAATCTGATAAAGAACTTGTTAATAGCAATTCTGATACAACTGTTGCAGAAGGAAAACTCAAGCAAGGGTAGCCCAACAGATGGAATGTAGCGAGACAATCCTCCTATTCCCTTCTTCCTTCATGAAGCACAAGGACATCACAACGTAAAAAAAAAAAAAAATCCTTTCCTGAAACTATCAAAAACCACCAGTAGCTTTGTGTTTAGGGCCAGGTTCATATTTCAGATGCTGGATACACCACTGAGCAGCTTGAGAAATCAGTCTCTATGCACCCATAATCATGAATAGCAGATGATGATTTTTCAAGACACGTGCCATGTCTCCAAGTTAAAAAAGTGAATGCTTTGTGTGTAATATACTTGGAGAGGTTTGTAACAGAGCCTTTGAGTCAGTGGGCTGATTCTCTAATACTAGCAAATGGAATGGAGACATATCAGACATTTAGACATGGATGATGTCAAAAATTTGTGCCACAGGTTTAATGTTGTGGAACACCCAGCTCCTAACTCCAAAAAGGGAATCTAACATTCTCATCTTGTCTGCCTGTCTAGCTATGTGTCACGTTCATCATCTTGCTATCTGAGTAACGGATATTTACTAAGTCCAAAAAGATGGAGTGGGAATGCCACACATAGACATAAATGACGTGTTTTTCATAACATAGGCTAAGCCTCTTGCCTCACGACCCCAACTCAGTCCAGTGAGATATTTCTTAGTCCTTGTCATAAAGAGGCGTCGACCCCCTTACCAAAACATCCTGGGACCATTCTAGCTAAAGACTGATCACATGAAATAGAGCTCGCACTTGGATGCCTGAAATGCCACTGGGAAGTTTTAAACTGCTGAAAGCAGAGAGTATAAATAACTCACAAAAACGTCTTTGTTTTTACAATGGGAAGACCAACCCATAGATGGAGTAAATCAAGAGATATTTTTGACCTTCTCTCAGTACAGCTGCTTGAGTACTCTGAGCAGTTAGTTAGACGTCAGAGAAGGTCAGGAAAGTCAGATCTAGGCATATTTTCCCAAACTACACATATTTTTAGCCACAGTAAGGACAGATGCATTTCTATTCATATAATTTCCCAGCCATTTCTTAAGGCAATGCCATCAAACTTAACATTTTTCTAGGAAGGTTTAGATGCGTGATTTACATTTATTAAATGGTTTACTTAACTTGAGAAATAAATTTAACTTTACTTACAAAGAGCCCGTTTCTGGAACATCTCACTAAAAAGAAAACAGTTACCAATAGTTTCCACACAAGAGTTATCTGAGATCCTGCACGGTTTTCTTTTACTTAAGAAAAAAAAGTAATTCTAGTATCTCAGATATCACTGTGTGGAAACTGATGATAAATGCTGACATTTTAATGGCAACTTCTCTCTTTCTAAGAAATTTGTCAGTGTAGCATCTAGATGACAAACTCAACAAATACAAGAAGCACTTTCTCAAATGTATGTCACCATATTCTCTACCCTGCCCTCATTTTATTCCTGTTTCCCAAGGGGATCATTCCTAATGGAGGTCTTTAAAGGAAAACACAGTTTAGCGGGGTAGATAAAAATCAATGATTTAAAATTTTTTTTTAAAACTCAGATTTGTATTTAAATCTGATTTTTGAAATTTGAATTAAATACTTCAAAAACTAAACATTTCAAATTACATTTGAAATTATGACAACCAATGCCCTAAAGTTATTATAATCTACTGAAATGATTTAAATTAAATAAAAATAATATTCAAAAAGTACATGTTTGCTGCCAAAGTTTTTAACAGAAGTCAAACCACTGACTTGCTAAGCACCGGGACCCATCGTTTTTTGAAGGGCTAATCCAGTTTTTTGACAGCAGTAGCCTCCTCTGCAGGTCCAGAAAGACTATTTTCTTCAGTTTATTTAATTAGTTTGAGGATCCTGGCCACGGCGACCAGAAAGAATGAGTTAAATTCACTAACTACAGATAATACTTCCTTTGTTTAATAAGTCAGTTTTAAATGCAAATCATGTTTTCATAAAAAACATTTTTCTTATACATCCTGCATTTAAGGTAGTTTTAAACCATTTTAAAAAATGCTGCTCTTTGCATTCTAATTGAATTCCAATTTCTATCCAAATAGAGCATGACAGAAATCCGAAGTAACTAAATAATCCTCTCGTAAATAAGAAATACATCATTCACCAATTTCTGACACAATAAAAAATGGAAAAATTAAGAATCTGAATAAATGTATGGTAAAGTACATACTTTCTTAAATAAATGTGTACAGATATACTGTATCCTCCTGGTGTAATGAGCTCTTATCCCATATGGAGGATGTGGGGGGAGGTTCGAAAGCTGATAGAGTAGAATACAGCCAGAGAACCATTTGGAGATTCTCTGGGTGGCAATGGTGTGCCCTGACTCTTTCTGCTATGGTGACAAACAGCCTTGGTTTTGTTCTCTGTAGGTAGAAAACCAAGGCCTGCCGAACATCGAGGGAGTGAAGTCTTGGTTCCTCTGTGGAAACGTGGGGTTTTGGGAAGAACATCGGTAAGCAATGGATTGGTAAAGGTGAAATTCTGAAACTACTTTAGGGGTGAATTTGGGGTATAGATGTAAAGAAACCTTATCCTTACGGAATACAATGTACGGAGGATCTGTCACTATCACTCCAAGTTAACAGACCCTTCTCGCTGAGGTGATGGCTACAAGAAAAACAACCTTAATAGAAAGGAGGGACATGGAGCAAGTAGCTAAAGGTCTTGTGAGTATTGAGAGAACAAGGTTCAGGTTTCACTGGGGAGTAGGCTTCTGTGTAGGAGGGAAAGTTTGATTAGACCTTTCCAGAATCTATCAGTCAGTGGATGTGTGAAGACTGAGTAGCCCTGAGAAGGTGGATGGTATGTGCTGATCACTGCCAAGTGGACTCTCAAGGAGCTGATGGACAAACCTGATGTCTTCAAAGATAGGATATAGTCCAAGATGAGAGGAATATCTGTAGTCTCAGGAAGAATGCCTCTTTGTTGTGCCCAAGAAGAGAAGTGCTTCCATTTAGCTAGATAACATTTTCTAATAGAGTCCTTTCTACTATTGGAGACAGTTGTGTAACATTGTCGGACATTGTAAGGGCATGGTGAGAATGGATGAATTGAAGAAAGGACTCATATGCTTTCTGTACTGCTCACAACTCCACGATATTGATATGCATCCTGGCCTCTCAAGATGTCCAAACACCCTGTGCTGTGTGACTGTTCATGTGGGCTGACCCACCTAATAGGGATGCATCCAGAATGATGGTCCTGTCCAGGGAGAAAGAGAAAGCCTATGTAACAACTGCAGATTGGAGGTCAGTCCTCACTATCAGTTTGCCCTCGTCTATCAGAGTTTCAAAATGTGCTGTCTTGTTGCGGAAGGCTGTCAGTAAACTCTGAAAACTTGGTATAGTTTAGGAAATGGTATTTAGACAGCAGCACCTGGTAACTGGCTATCCTGAACTGGAGGCTGGATGATGGAGAAGATTTCTCTTCCCAGCAGATCCAAGTGTTTGCCCTCTTTGTCAGCAGGAGAAGACCAGGGATGTCATCGTCTAGCTCTTTCAGAAATGGCATGGACCACCAGTGAAGTGGGAGCGGAGTGAAAAAACAAAAATTCCACACCCTTAGCCCGCACATAATAAAGCTTCCTCACCCCTTTGGGGGTAGGAGTGCAGGTGGCAATTGTCCTAGCTGGCTCCAGTGTGGCTTCATTAATGGGGAAAGCTATTCTGTTGGATCCGGAAGTGCGCAAGATGTCTACAAGTTTGTGCTAGGATCTCAAGCGGAATCTGAAGCTCTCCAACAACTCTGCAGAGACAGTTCTGGAACTACCTGAAGTTATTGGTAGAGCCCTGTGTGGATACCAAATTTATATCTGCAGATGTGGATATAAATTTTGTATCCATGCAGGGCTCTAGTCATTGGGAGGTTGGGGGGCGGGGGATGTAGAAGTCACTGCTTCAGCTGGGGATGATGGCAGCAATCTTGCTGGTATGTACATGTTATAATTCTTGACGTCTGATTTAGTCCATTTATTCTTTTACGTAGAGACTGTCCGGTTTGGCCAATGTACATGGCAGAGGGGCACTGCCGGCACATGATGGCATATATCACATTGGTAGATGTTCAGGTGAATGAGTCTCTGATAGTGTGGCTGATGTGACATATGCCATCATGTGCCAGCAATGCCCCTCTGCCCTGTACATTGGCCAAACCGGACAGTCTTTACGTAAAAGAATAAATGGACACAAATCAGACGTCAAGAATTATAACATTCAAAAACCAGCCGGAGAACACTTCAATCTCTCTGGTCACTAGATTACAGACCTAAAAGTCACAATATTACAACAAAAAAACTTCAAAAACAGACTCCAACGAGAGACTGCTGAATTGGAATTAATTTGCAAACTGGACACCATTAAATTAGGCTTGAATAAAGACTGGGAGTGGATGTGTCATTACACAAAGTAAAACTATTTCCCCATGTTTATTTCCCCCCCCCCCACTGTTCCTCACACGTTCTTGTCAACTGCTGGAAATGGCCCATCTTGATTATCACTACAAAAGGTTTTTTTTCTCTCCTGCTGGTAATAGCTCACCTTAACTGATCACTCTCGTTATAGTGTGTATGGTAACACATATTGTTTCATGTTCTCTGTGCATATAAAATCGTCCTACTGTATTTTCCACTGCATGCATCCGATGAAGTGAACTGTAGTCCACGAAAGCTTATGCTCAAATAAATCCGTTAGTCTCTAAGGTGCCACAAGTACTCCTGTTCTTTTTGCAGGAATATTATGTCCACTGCATTCCCGCTATCCAACAAATCAGTTACCCTGTCAAAGAAGGAATCAAGCTGGTTTAGTGTGATTTGGTCTTAGTAAATCCATGCTCGCTGCTAGTGATCACCCCTTCATCCTCCAGGTATTCTCCAGTTGAATGTTTTATACATTGCTCTACTAGCTTCCCAGGTATTGAAGTCAGGCTGACTGGTCTATAATTCCTCAACTCCTCCTTTTCCCCCTTTTCAAAGACGGGCACTGCATTAGCCCTTCTCCAGTCTTCTAGGACCTCTCCTCTCATCCATAAGTTTGTAAATATTATTGCCAGTGGCTCTGAGATTTCTTCAGCTAATTCCTTCAGTACCGTCAGGTGAATAGCATCACGGCCCGCTGATTTAATACATTCAAATTAGTCCAAAGATTTCTGAAGTGTTCTTGACTTATCTGCATCACTTCCCCTTTATTGTCTATGGTAACTTTGCTAGTCATCTGATCACGTTATTTTTTCTGACAAGACTGAAGCAAAGTAGGTATTGAGCAGCTGTGCCTTCGTATCATCTTCGGTTACCAGCTCACCTTCTCTACTGAGCAGCGGACCCGTACCGTCCTTGATCCTTCTTTTTTGTCTGACACATTTGAAGAACCCCTTCTTGTTGTCTCTAACATTTCTTGCCAGCTGTAACTCATTCTTTGCCTTGGCCTTCCTGATTTGATCGGTACACGCTCATGCTATTCCCATGTATACTTCTTTGGTGACATGTCCCTCCTTCCAATTCCTGAATGTATCCCTTTTGGTTTTTAGATAGCTAAAAAGCAACTTGTGCAGCCACATTGGCCTCCTGTAGCTTTTCTCATCTTACCTCTGTGTCGGAATAGCTCTACTATTACATCTTTTAAGAACTGCCAGTTCCCTTTGACTCCTTTTCTTCCTCATTGGTTTTTCCATTGGACCTTGCCTACTATTTCTCTGAGTCCACTGACATCTACCTTTCTGAAGTCCAGTGTCCTGGTTTTGCTGTCCTCATGTCCTCCTTTCCAAAGGATCTTGAATTCTATCAGATCACAATCACTTCCTCCCAAGTTTCCAACCACCTTTACGTTCACAACTAATTCATCCCTGTTGGTCAAAACCAGATCCAAAATGGAGGACCCGCTAGTTGTTGAAACAGAAAGCTCTCCCCTACACATGCTAAGAATTTACAGGACATATTATGTTTTGCTGCTACAGTCTTCCAGCAGATATCAGAGAAGTTAAAACCCCGCACTAATACTAGCTCACGCGTGTTAACTAATCTTGTTACATGCTTGTAGAATGACTCATCCACTTCTTCTTTCTGATTTGGTGGTCTTTAATAGACCCCCCATTGTAACATCTCTATAGTTTTTTTCCCTTGTTATTCTCCCTCAGAGACTCCCAGTAGGTCTGTCGCTCACTTCCCCTCGGACCTCGGAAAAAGTGTATACATTCTTGACGTACAGCGCAACACCTCCTCCTTTTTCCCCATACCTATCCTTTCGGAACAAGCTAGATCCTTCAATGCTGGTACGCCAATCATGGGAGTTGTCCCACCAAGTCTCTGTTATGCCAATTAAGTCATAATTTTCTTCATAATTTCACGACTTCCAGTTCATACTCCTTACAGTTGTATATAGAAATCGAAGATATTTTGCAGACTGCCCTGTTGCTTTTCTTTTTGCCTTTTTAATGCCATTGTGATTTCTAGATCCTTCTCCAGAAATTCGCTGCTTCCCCTTGTCTTCGGTACTTAAGCCTAGATACGCATTGGCTGGATTAGTTTGATTTCTCTGAAGTGGACTTTGAGGAACACTTAGTCTCATGCTTATGACAGTGCATCTTACCTTCCTGACAACACTCCACCATGAGGTTTGTGCGGGCAGATTCCCCACACCAGAGTCAGATGTTACAACAGGAGGTACATTCCTTGCTGAATCAGGCTGACACACAGAGGGGTTCCCTGGCCTGGGTCTGACTGGGGCCTTATGGCCTTCTCCATTAAGTATTTGCAGAGATGAAATTCCTGCCCTTCTTCAGTATGGCTGGGGAACGATGGGCAGATACTGCATCTTGCCACAATGTGAGATTCCCCAAGGCAGTACAGGCAGCGCTGGTGGTCATCATTGACTGAGAAGGATTGCAGGCAGGAAGCACAGAATTTGCAGCTCAAAGTCCAGGGTGTAGCTTGCTACCTAAACAGGGTATGGGGGGAAGAGAGGGTCCCCTCGGGAGAATAATCTAATACAGTGGTTCTTAAAGCCGGTCCACCGCTTGTTCAGGGAAAGTCCCGGCGCACCGGACTGGTTTGTTTACCTGCCGCATCTGCAGGTTCGGCTGATTGCAGCTCCCACTGGCCGTGGTTTGCCGCTCCAGGCCAATGGGGGCTGCGGGAAGGGCAGCCAGTACATCCCTTGGCCCTTGCCGCTTCCCGCAGCCCCCATTGGCCTGGAGCGGCAAACCACGGCCAGTGGGAGCCGCAATCGGATGAACCTACGGACACGGCAGGTAAATAAACCAGTCCGGGGTGCTGGGGCTTTCCCTGAACAAGCGGCGGATTGGCGTTGAGAACCACTGATCTAATGCTAAATGGTACAAACTATTAAAACTGTTAAATTATTTACAAACTAGATGATTCTTATTTTTTAGAATGAAGCCAAAGCTGCAGACACTAAAGGTTCCAACCCAGATCATGTGGCGGTGAGAAGGAACTGGAGAGATTGTTGGTCCGCCCTGACTTTTACCTCCTTGGTTGAAGGCATGAGGTGAGCCAGGGTGCATGTGTGGACAGACAGATTACTTTCAAATTCTCTGGCTTCGGGCACGTGGTGTGCACGTGTAGCTTATAATCAGTGCTATTTCAGATGCAAGAGAAGAAAAGTATTTTCTTCACAAAGCAGTAGACTTCATCAAAATAAAGTGGAACACGGTGTCACTATAACATTGGCTCCAGAGTATAGAACTAACATGGCCCTCAGCTTCAAAAGCTAATCTGGAAGGTATCCAGAAGAGAGCAGCAACAGCACACACACAAAGAGCCAACAGGGAAATGGCTTGTTTTTGCAAGTTCATGGGAATGAGTTTTGAAACATGATCTTCTCTAATTGGCCGAGATTGTGCCACTGTAAGGAAATCAGCAACCTTAATGACTGGCATTGGCTGGCTGGCATTGTCTTTGTGGAGTGCAAAGCAGCTCTAGGGACCCTTGTGCAGCTGAAGGGCGACTCCTCAGTCAATTGCTGATCTGCCAGCAGCCAAAGGTTATCAATTCTGGAGCTGCAAAAGAGATCTTTCCCCCTACTGGTTGCTTCACATTGCTCAGCCCTGGCAGAGCAGCAGACTTCAACTCCACAACTCTCTCCTCTCAATTTAATCTCCATCGTAGCTGCAGTTTATCCTCTGGCACCTTTCCTCTGCCCTGGTCCTTAATTTCTCCTCCTTTCCCCATGTTTTCATGAGCTCTACTGACTTCTCACTTCCTGTAGTTCAGTGTCACTTCCTAAATCCCCACTTTCACAGTTCCTCTTAGCCCTGGTCTACACTAGGACTTTAGGTCGAATTTAGCAGCATTAAATCGATGTAAACCTGCACCCGTCCACACGATGAAGCCCTTTATTTCGACTTTAAGGGCTCTTAAAATCGATTTCCTTACTCCACCCCTGACAAGTGGATTAGCGCTTAAATCGGCCTTGCCGGCTAGAATTTGGGGTACTGTGGACACAATTCGACGGTATTGGCCTCCGGGAGCTATCCCAGAGTGCTCCATTGTGACCGCTCTGGACAGCACTCTCAACTCAGATGCACTGGCCAGGTAGACAGGAAAAGAACCACGAACTTTTGAATCTCATTTCCTGTTTGGCCAGCGTGGCAAGCTGCAGGTGACCATGCAGAGCTCATCAGCAGAGGTGACCATGATGGAGTCCCAGAATCGCAAAAGAGCTCCAGCATGGACCGAACGGGAGGTACGGGATTTGATCCCTGTATGGGGAGAGGAATCCGTGCTATCAGAACTCCGTTCCAGTTTTCGAAATGCCAAAACCTTTGTCAAAATCTCCCAGGACATGAAGGTCAGAGGCCATAACAGGGACCCGAAGCAGTGCCGTGTGAAACTGAAGGAGCTGAGACAAGCCTACCAGAAAACCAGAGAGGCGAACGGCCGCTCCGGGTCAGAGCCCCAAACATGCCGCTTCTATGATGAGCTGCATGCCATTTTAGGGGGTTCAGCCACCACTACCCCAGCCGTGTTGTCTGACTCCTTCAATGGAGATGGAAGCAATACGGAAGCAGGTTTTGGGGACGAAGAAGATGATGATGATGATGAGGTTGTAGATAGCTCACAGCAAGCAAGCGGAGAAACCGGTTTTCCCGACAGCCAGGAACTGTTTCTCACCCTGGACCTGGAGCCAGTACCCCCCGAACCCACCCAAGGCTGCCTCCTGGACCCAGCAGGCAGAGAAGGGACCTCCGGTGAGTGTACCTTTTAAAAGACTATACATGGTTTAAAAGCAAGCATGTGAAAGGATTACTTTGCCCTGGCATTCGCGGCTCTCCTGGATGTACTCCCAAACCTTTGCAAAAGGTTTCTGGGGAGGGCAGCCTTATTGCGTCCTTCATGGTAGGACACTTTACCACTCCAGGCCAGTAACACGTACTCGGGAATCATTGTACAACAAAGCATTGCAGTGTATGTTTGCTGGCGTTCAAACAACATCCGTTCTTTATCTCTCTGTGTTATCCTCAGGAGAGTGAGATATAATTCATGGTCATCTGGTTGAAATAGAGTGCTTTCTTCAGGGGACACTCAGAGGAGCCCATTCCTGCTGGGCTGTTTGCCTGTGGCTAAACAGAAATGTTCCCCGCTGTTAGCCACAGGGAGGGGGGAGGGTTGAGGGGGTAGCCACGCGGTGGGGGGAGGCAAAATGCGACCTTTTAACGAAAGCACATGTGCTATGTATGTAATGTTAACAGCAAGGTTTACCCTGAAAGAGTGTAGCCACTGTTTTATAAAATGTGTCTTTTTAAATACCGCTGTCCCTTTTTTTTTCTCCACCAGCTGCATGTGTTTCAATGATCACAGGATCTTCTCCTTCCCAGAGGCTAGTGAAGCTTAGAAAGAAAAAAAACGCACTCGCGATGAAATGTTCTCCGAGCTCATGCTGTCCTCCCATACTGACAGAGCACAGACGAATGCGTGGAGGCAAATAATGTCAGAGTGCAGGAAAGCACAAAATGACCGAGAGGAGAGGCGGAGGGCTGAAGAGAGTAAGTGGCGGGCTGAAGACAGGGCTGAAGCTCAAATGTGGCGGCAGTGTGATGAGAGGAGGCAGGATTCAATGCTGAGGCTGCTGGAGGACCAAACCAGTATGCTCCAGTGTATGGTTGAGCTGCAGCAAAGGCAGCTGGAGCACAGACTGCCACTACAGCCCCTGTGTAACCTACCGCCCTCCTCCCCAAGTTCCATAGCCTCCACACCCAGACGCCCAAGAACGCGGTGGGGGGGCCACCGGCCAACCAGCCACTCCGCCACAGAGGATTGCCCAAAAAAAAGAAGGCTGGCATTCAATAAATTTTAAAGTTGTAAACTTTTAAAGTGCTGTGTGGCATTTTCCTTCCCTCCTCCACCACCCCTCCTGGGCTACCTTGGAAGTCATCCCCCTATTTGTGTGATGAATGAATAAAGAATGTATGAATGTGAAGCAACAATGACTTTATTGCCTCTGCAAGCGGTGATCAAAGGGAGGAGGGGAGGGTGGTTAGCTTACAGGGAAGTAGAGTGAACCAAGGGGGGGGGGTTTCATCAAGGAGAAACAAACAGAACTTTCACACCGTAGCCTGGCCAGTCATGGAACTGGTTTTCAAAGCTTCTCTGATGCGTACCGCGCCCTCCTGTGCTCTTCTAACCGCCCTGGTGTCTGGCTGCGCGTAACCAGGAGCCAGGCGATTTGCCTCAACCTCCCACCCCGCCATAAACGTCTCCCCCTTACTCTCACAGACATTGTGGAGCACACAGCAAGCAGTAATAACAGTGGGAATATTGGTTTCGTTGAGGTCTAAGCGAGTCAGTAAACTGCGCCAGCACGCCTTTAAACATCCAAATGCACATTCTACCACCATTCTGCACTTGCTCATCCTGTAGTTGAACAGCTCCTGACTACTGTCCAGGCTGCCTGTGTACGGCTTCATGAGCCATGGCATTAAGGGGTAGGCTGGGTCCCCAAGGATACTTATAGGCATTTCAACATCCCCAACAGTTATTTTCTGGTCTGGGAATAAAGTCCCTTCCTGCAGCTTTTGAAACAGACCAGAGTTCCTGAAAATGCGAGCGTCATGTACCTTTCCCGGCCATCCCACGTTGATGTTGGTGAAACGTCCCTTGTGATCCACCAGAGCTTGCAGCACTATTGAAAAGTACCCCTTGCGGTTTATGTACTCGGCGGCTTGGTGCTCCGGTGCCAAGATAGGGATATGGGTTCCGTCCATGGCCCCACCACAGTTAGGGAATCCCATTGCAGCAAAGCCATCCACTGTGACCTGCACATTTCCCAGGGTCACTACCCTTGAAATCAGCAGATCTTTGATTGCGTGGGCTACTTGCATCACAGCAGCCCCAAAAGTAGATTTGCCCACTCCAAATTGATTCCCGACTGACCAGTATCTGTCTGGCTTTGCAAGCTTCCACAGGGCTATCGGCACTTGCTTCTCAACTGTGAGGTCTGCTCTCATCTTGGTATTCATGCACCTCAGGGCAGGGGAAAGCAAGTCACAAAGTTCCATGAAAGTGCCCTTACGCATGCGAAAGTTTCGCAGCCACTGGGAATCGTCCCAGATCTGCAACACTATGCAGTCCCACCAGTCTGTGTTTGTTTCCCGAGCCCAGAATCAGCGTTCCACAGCATGAACCTGCCCCATTAGCACCATGATGCATGCATTGGCAGGGCCCATGCTTTCAGAGAAATCTGTGTCCATGTCCTGATCACTCATGTGACCGCGCTGACGTCGCCTCCTCGCCCGGTATCACTTTGCCAGGTTCTGGTGCTGCATATACTGCTGGATAACGCGTGTGGTGTTTAATGTGCTCCTAATTGCCAAAGTGAGCTGAGCGGCCTCCATGCTTGCCTTGGTATGGCGTCCGCACAGAAAAAAGGCGCGGAACGATTGTCTGCCGTTGCTCTGACGGAGGGAGGGGCGACTGACGACACGGCTTACAGGGTTGGCTTCAGGGAGCTAAAATCAACAAAGGGGGTGGCTTTACATAAAGGAGTATTTCAGGCAGGACTTCACGGAGGGTTCCAATAAGAAATGGTGCACCTAAGTTATTGTTCTTATTGGAACAAGGAGGTTAGCCTGGCCTCTTATTGACACATGGCTAGATTTACCTTGCTGCACCTTCTCTGTGAGTGACTGCAGTGTGATCTAGAGGAATGAGTCCCCTAGACAGGGGAGGGGGGGAAGCAAATGAGTACAAAACAAATCTGGTCTATTTCTTGTTTTGATCCACTCCACCTATCTTTTACATCTTTGGCTGGCAGCAGACGGTGCAGAAGGACTGCATGCCATCCACATCTCATGGCTGCTCGGCAGAAGATGGTACAGTACGACTGCTAGCCATCCTCATCTCTTGCCTGCCCGGCAGAAGATGGTACAATACGACTGCTAGCCATCCTCATCTCTTGCCTGCCCGGCAAAGATGGTACAGTACGACTGCTAGCAATCCGTATCGCCTGCCTGCTCACCATAAGACAGTTCAATAGGACTGACTGCAGGACTAAAGAGAATGACCTGGTCAAGTCACTCCAAATTTAGTCCCTGCGCCCATGTCTGCCCAGGCGCTCCCAGCCGACGTGGCCAGGAGCACCTCGGACACGACGAGGACGGCTACCAGTCGTACTGCACTGTCTGCTGCCAGAAGGCAATGGGTCGCTGCTACTGTGTAGCAATGCCGTACCGCGTCTGCCAGCACCCAGGAGACATACGGTGACGGTTATCTGAGCGGGCTCCAGGCTTGCTGTGGTATGGCGTCTGCACAGGTAACTCAGGAAAAAAGGCGCGAAACGATTGTCTGCCCTTGCTTTCACGGAGGGAGGGAGGGAAGGGGGGCCTGACGATATGTACTCAGAACCACCCGCGACAATGTTTTAGCCCCATCAGGCATTGGGATCTCAACCCAGAATTCCAATGGGCAGCGGAGACTGCGGGAACTGTGAGATAGCCATCCACAGTGCGACGCTCCGGAAGTCGACTCTAGCCTTGGTACTGTGGAAGCACTCCACCGAGTAAATGCACTTAATGCACTTAGAGCATTTTCTGTGGGGGGACACACATTCGAATATATAAAACAGATTTCTAAAAAAACGACTTCTATAAATTCGACCTTATTCCGTAGCGTAGACATACCCTTAGTCTTGGCCAGCTTCACTTCTCCCCTTACCCAAGGGATACTCTCTCAATTCTGGTCTACAAGACCATTGCCTTCTCTTTGTTCACATCATTTAAGACTCAGGTCTCATTCACATTGACAAGAAGTTGTCAACAATACAATTTAATACATATACCTAAACTGTGTAACCATGTTATCTTCTTGTGTTATCTCCTTGCTGTAATTCTGGTTCATCAGTATTATCAGCACCACATCCCCTCCTTTCTCTACTGTGAATGCCCACTCATATAATATTATGACTGTAAGCTCCTTGGGGCAACGGCTATATTTGTCTACCAGTTATATAAAACCAGTGGTGCACTTTTGTGCACTGTAGTAGTAACAACAGGAGTGTTACTGTAGTTAGTCCATTGGCTACCCCTGGGGGAATTCTGCACACAATATTTTAAAATTCTGCAAATTTTATTTGTCAAAATAACACTACATAATCACCCCAGTTTCAATTATTTTGGTAATTTATTTCCAAATATCTGTCAGAAAATATGTCTGTAACAATACAGACACACAAAATTCCCCCAGGAGTAGGGCATTAAAGAAACCCCTATGACAAACCAGTTCCTGTTTCTCCGCTGCCCCCACCCCCAGGAGCCCAGCTGGGGGGGCCAGACACCCACAGCCCCTCCTCCAAGTCCAGATGCGAGGCCCCTGCAGCCAATACACTAGAAACCCCCTCCCCCCCTGAGCCCAGACGTGAGGGCCCCCCGCAGCCCAGATACCGCACCACCTCCCCCGCAGAGCCCGCCGTGGCCCCCACATCCCAGACATGCCGCCACACACACCCCTCCCCGAGTAGGGTCGTGAGGTGTCTGGTTTTTGACTGGAACCCTCGGTTGAAAAGGGACCCTGGTGGCTTTAATGTTCGGGGGCCATTAAATGTCCAGTCGGCGGTGCAGCAGGCTCCCTGTCTGCTCTAGGTGTGTGTGGCTCCTGGAAGTGGCTGCCAGGTTCCTGCAACCCCTAGATGCATGGGAGGCCAGCGAGGCTCTGTGTGCTGCCCCCTTGTGCCAGCTCCGCAGCTCTCACTGACTGGGAACTGTGACCAATGGGAGCTGCGGGGGTGACGCCTGCGGGTGTGAGGGCAGCACGTGGCTCCTCCCTTACTGCCCATGCATCTAGGGGCTGCAGGGACCTGGAAGCCACTTCCTGGGGGCCACGGTAAGTGCCACTGGGACCCCACACCTCAAACCCTCTCCCACACCACAACCTCACGTCCCCTCCCACCTCCAAACTCCCTCCCGCACCCCACTCCCCAACAGCAACCCCCCTGCCTCAGGCCCCCTCCTGCACTCCAAACCTCTCATTTCCAGCCCCAGAGTCCACACGCCCAGCCAAAGCCCTCACCCGCCCTGCACCCCAACCACCTGCCCCAGTCCAGAACCCCATCCTTCACCCCAAATCCCTCATCCCCAGCCCCACCCCAGAGTCCACTCCCCCAGCTGGAGCCCGTACCCCCTCCCGCACGCCAAACCCCTCAGCCCCAGCCCAGACCCCACTCCTTCAACCCAAGCCCCTCATCACCAGCCCCACCCCAGAGCCTACCTCCCCAGCTAGAGTCCCCCCAACACCCTGTCCCAGCCCGGAGCCCTCTCCCACACCCCAAACCCCTCATCACTGGCCCCACCCCAGAGCCTGCACCCCCAGTCAGAGCCCTCAGCCACCTCCTGCACACCAACCCCCCCCCCAGCATGGCAAAAATGAGTGAGGGTGGGGGAGAGCAAGCAATGGAGGGAAAGGGGATGGAGCGAGCAGGGGTGGGGCCTCAGAGAAGGGGCGGGGCCGAGGTGTTCGGTTTTTATGTGTTAGAAAGTTGGCAACCCTACCCCAGAGTCCAGCTATGGCTCCCCAGAGACCAGACGTCCACCTCCTCCCTTCCGGAACCCAGCCGTGGCCTCCCCCACCAGCCCAGATACCCGTCCCCCTACTGCCCAGGGATCCAGAAGGAGAAACAGCCTGCTTCTGGGTCCCAGGCTTATGTGGTGTTTCCTGCACGCCACCGTCTGGAACCCAGGGAACTGCAGCTGCTAGGAACTCTTTCCTCCCCACCACAGTGTCTTCTGTGTGTGAGCTGGGCTCTGCCTGGTCCAGGGGCCCCTAGTGGCGGCAAGCAGCACTGCAGCCCATTTTTGTGGAGGAAAGGAAATTATGTGAAAATAACATTAATTTCTGCAAAATTCTGCATTGCGCAGTGGCACAGAACTCCCTCAGGAGTAA